GTTAGGATCATTTCAGTTTTGCTGCCAGTGTTCAGTCTTGTTGACCATCCCATCATGCTGCAAGCCTTTATGTTCCCACAGGCTTTTCTGAGCTGGGAATGAAGATCACAGACGAGAATCGGTACAGGAGAACCAGGAGGGGTTTTAGCTCAGTCATTTATCCATGGTAATTTCTGTTACTGGTAAAACATTTCCGGTTGTGAGCCAGGACTCGGGTTCTGTGGCATGCACATCTGGTCTCATCATCAGGATGAGGGAGAAGTCTCAGACAGATGCGTCAGCAGAGCCATGAAAACAGCCTGTACAGCACATGCCAGCTGGTTCCCCCTGGCACTACCAAACTCTTAACCCCAGGAGTAGCAAAATGCAACACATTTATATTGAAGTGTAAAGCAATTAAAACATCCAGCAGAGCCCCTGCTTCCTGGGAAGGAAGGCAAGGCAGACAGAGTCATAATACAAACCAGGGCCAAAGTGTATGATTTTGCAAGTGCCCAAGTCACAGTGCCTGCAAGGCAGAGACAAACTGACCTGCCTCTCTCCTCCTCATAAGGGGGGGGAGGTGTTGTTTTTTGTTTTGTTTTGTTTTTTATCAGAAAGGGCTCCTGCAGCTGCTGAAGCAATGGCACTGAAAGGCAGCTTCTAGCAGCAGCAGCAGCTCCCAAGTCACTTCGCAGACCAGCCTTCTGCAGGAATTGTTTTTCAAATCCCCAGCTAGCCTTCTGACCACTACAAGGGTTCAGACGCCAGCAGTACCACTTGCTTTTTGCTGCTTGGGAATAGGTACCAAGTGCTAGGAGACCAAGATGCAGTTTACAGGAGCGAAGGGGGTCTTTTCCTGCAGCTGTGACTAGCCTCTTATCCCACAACTCAGTGATATGCAAACCTGCACCTTTCAAGTTCTCCAGCACTAAAGCCCTGACGCAAAGCTGCAATTACATCAACCGTTATTCTGCCATATCAGTCCCAGAGACCAACCCAACCCAGTGAAGCTGATTAGTAGTTGAACAGCTGCCTGCATGATGCTTCAAAACACACAATTAAAGAGAGTAACACAGAGGTTGCAGGATCACAAGAGTTTCCATTTCAAAAGGCAGCAGGATCCAGGTGAACAGGGAAGCCAGTTTTAGCACTAGAAATACTAGGCGTTTTGGAGCACTGGGATCAAATCTACCAGACGGACTTGGACCTGGAGACTCTGCCACAGCCCACCCCGTCTAAGGAAAGTAAATTAAGATCAAGTAGTCCTGAGTAAAGCCCTCCCTTGCCACACATGCCCCTACCAAGTGCCAGGTGGAACAGCTGCCCCTCAGCAAGCCCGGACTGCTCTAGCATCACCCAGGACCTCAGGCTCCTCCTGATCAGTCCCACAAACAAGAAGAGACAGCTGTTGGGGCTTCCAAGCATTTCTAAAGGTACTGTGCTTGAAAGAGAAGAAAACAGGTAAAAGCAAGTGCACACTGGGAGCTCCATTTTGTAGGGTCCCTCAGGCATTTGCTTAAAAATTCAATCGTTGTGCATTTCTTCCAGGCCTAGTGCAAGTCAGGAATGCTTCCCTGTGTCTGGGAGTCAGCAGTTCGTTACCTGAGCCCCACAGGTTTCTTTGCAGTGCACAGTCCTGACACAACCAGCTACCTGCTCACAGGTAGCAGAAGTGGGCCTCAGTGTGTTACTGCTAGTCAATTCTTACCATGATAAAACTCAAAGGCCCTGCACGGGGAGGGCATCGCCGGCCAATACAGGGTAGGAGACAGCCCGGGGAGAAGGGCTGGATTTGTGCTACAAATCCTAGCGTGTTGGATCTCACAGGGCCCCTCCAGGTGCCGAAACAGAATTTTTTCCCAACCCGCAGTCAAAACAGAACAGCTCACTTCAGCCATGGCCCTGAAAGCCCACAGGCAGCTTGTCCATTTTGTAAAAGCATTTGGGCAGGTCCGAGCTCATCTGAGGGCAGCAGAGATGGCTGAGGAAAGACCCATCTGTAAGAATACAGGCTTCACCCCTCATCAAGGACTCATCTACGGAGTGGGAGGTGGGCAAGGGCCCTCCTCTTCTCCACAATCGACTCTGCCCCTGCGAGTGTCTCCACAATAGTGACAGCCAGACAGACAAAGGAGTCTCTTACCCTGCCAGCACAGGACACGTCTATCTACATCTACCCCATCACCAGCCCTAATCAAGATCAGAGCCCTACTGTGCTACACACGGGGTGCATCTGCACGAGACCGTTACTTCACAGCAGGCTAATTAGCTACACAGTAGATGTCTTGCGTCTACACGTGCACCCCTATTAGGCTGGAGTAAACCAACTTACTTTGCAGCAGAATAGCACCTGTAAAAAACACTCCACAGCAGCACACGTGTAGCCACTGACGGAGCTGGCTGGGCGTGAGTGCTTCAATGTGGGGGCTGCCTGCCAGCTAGCCCCACGCTGAAGCACCCTCGTGCCCCGCCAGGCACTCTGCAGCACGCTGAGCCAGGGGGAGCAGCCCAGGGCTGGCAGGCTGAGCCCTCCGTCCCCCGCCAGCCAGGGCTGCTCTGACCTGGCCCAACATGCTCTGGTCCTGGGCACACGTGTAAATGGTGTGCCCAAGAGCAATCAACTCTGGAGCAATAAGCTCAGGAGTTTATTGCTTCTGGTTAACTGCATGTGTAGATATGCCCACTATGTAAAACAGAGGAAGAAGACAGTCCCTGCCCCAAAGAGGTTGAAGTCTAAGAAGAGATTTACGATTCATAAAGCGGAGGAAATCTAAACATGCCTGTGTCGGAAGTGGCTGCTCAGTCCTGTTCTAGTAACGTGTGGAGCCACTGCTGTCTGAAGACACGCACTTCATTTGCAGCACGCAGTTAACCCTGGCTCGGCAAGGAGGAACAATGGGGCTGAGGCTTTTCAGCCAGGCTGACAACTGGTACGACCGCTCCTGGCCACACAGCTGCAGAAAGGGGGCAGCGCTTGCGACAGGCAGACGTGGTTATAGCTGTGAATTTCTCAGGAGTGCTGGAGGCTTTGCCCCCTCTGCTCTGCAGACTGTAAAAGCTCTCAGTTGTGAAATACACAGCTTTGGGGGGGAAATGCTCATTTAATTCAACTAATTCCTCTTGGTATTCTGAGGAAAACAAGGTTTGCAGTGACCCTGAAATTCAAAACTGACAATTGCCTGCTGATCACAAGTATACACTTCTTTTCATACAATGCTTTTTCGAATGGCGTCAGGAATGTCTCAAGTCCCTGAAGTGCATAATAATTTTCCATGGATTTTCAAGTGCCTTTTCTTGCCCATTCCACAAGATATTGGCCTATGACTTGGTTAAAATATCTGTGCAGATGCACTTTTTCTGATGAATAAAAATGGCATAATAAATAATTAAACCTTTCTAGCTTATTAGTAGAGCATTTAAACCTCATTCTCAAGAGTATCCTTCACCTTTCACAAGGCTGTTCACATTTTTAACTCCCACTCGATCACATACAAGGCACAGAAAATACTGACGGGGAAGAACACGGGTGTCTGGCGTATAATTTCCACGTCACTAGGAATTATTTTTGCCCCCTCTGGTGCGTGACCAGCCCCCCACCTAATCAGCTTCACTCCCAAGGATTTTACTACCACCGCTACAGCCCTGCACAAGGACGGCGCTCCCGCAACAGCCGATCATTGCCACTTCTAAGAAGCAGGCAGGGGCCACCACCAGCAGCCCGGGGAGCGAGGCCATGCTCAAATGCTTTTCTCTCTCGTGCCTGTTTCCCTGTGTTCGCAGGGACTCAGTGGATACAGGCACAGAAAGAACAGTGGTATTTGCTGGGGAATATGCCATGGTGAGCACATGCGAGCTACAATAAGACACAGGATTAGTCTGTGAAAATCGGTGCACCAGCCTTAATTAAAAAACCAAGAAAGTGTTCAAACCTTCTCATTAAAATATCATTAGCAGCCTGATTCCAACCCACCAAAGGCATGGTGTTCACATGTAAGGTTGCAACTCTGTCCTTATGCTTTTGTCATAAGCCTTGGCATTTCTGCAAACTGAAGGTGTAAATTCAGCTCAGTTGAACTGCAACACAACAGGCCAGCTAAGTTTAAGTGACAGCCTTAGCTCTTAATTTCTTGGCATTTGTGCGCTGCAGTCAGACCTCTACCATCATTTGAATGCTGGGTTTTATATTTAGTTTCATAGGGACTGCTTTTTTTTTTTGTGTGCGCCAGTTCTGCACTCTAAGATTACTGCTTTTCCCTCACTTACTTCCTGAGGCTATGGCCCTTGGCAAAGAGAATGACAGGCAAAATATTTATAAGCCATAGACCTGTCATAAACTCCAGCCAGTCAGAAGGGCTGGTAGTAATATTCCTACTGCAACCTTATCGAAATCACGGAAGAGCTTCAAGAATTTTCATTTTTAATCATTTCAAATCAACCTATTTCCCAGACCACATAATCGAGCTGTCCGAGTCCAGTGGATGTCAGTAGGGCCACACGTTGCTTTTTCAGCCGGAGAGCAGAAGCCATTATAAATAATACTACAGCCTTCATGATGGAGATTGTCCTTTCTACAACTTACAGCCTGGAGGCTTCATTATTCCATTGGCCGTAATTCAATTTGCCCCTTCCTAAAAGATCTGTTTCTGTGACCCACCCCCACCCCTGGAAACATGCTCAGCTAATAATTTCCGATTAATGCAGTCAATTACTAACTCGCCCCCAACCCCTTACTATCACCTGATTGGGCCAGAGAGGGAAGGAAGCGGCAACTAGCTGGAGAGGGATAGAAATGGGGGTAAAATAGCAATAAAAAGTAATTACATAAAAATGCTAAACATATTACATCTGTTAGTTTGCTTAGCCCACTGGGCTTGACAATTCCAGGTTTCTGCCATTGTCCGTGCTCAGACAGACAAGAATAAGGAAAACAGGGAAAGGATTTTTGAATAAGATTATTAAATCAGTGCATGAAAAATAAGAGTCGTCATTACACTGCAAAGGGAGAGAGAGAAACTCACTGAAATTTCTTTCTGCAGATTTGCCTTTGTGATCTGCAAGGTACTGTTCTCCTGCTTACACTCCGTTACCCTGGCAACGTACTCCTGTAAAATAAAGATTATTAAAGCGCATATGATTATTTGGTGGCTGAGTGAATGAGGCGGCCGCTTCTGAAATTCCTTATCAGAGAAATTCAATTTTAGGCCAAATTGTGTTTTCACCGCCTCCCAGCTTCTCCCTCCCCCCGTGCAATACCAATAAAACCATCATCTCCCCAGCCGTACACGGTATTTGTCACTAACTCTTTCACGCCTTCCCTTTCCCATTCCAGGTTTTATTTTTGCTTCATGAGAGTAAATTCTTTCCCTCGCTCGTGCAGTTTTTTGGTGGGTTAAGGCTTTTCAAATAGCTTCAGACTATTTTTCTTCTGGCATGTACAGCTAGCAGCAGCAGAGCCGGAAGGAGGGCTGGTGAACAGCCCCTGCCTCGCCGCAGGAGAGGACACCCCACGCCAGGACCGCCCTGGTGCTCTGCCCCTCGCTCGGCAGAAGCCCAGAGACGCCGCTCACAAGCATCCCCGTTCACAGAGCGTCGCTCCCACCGCTCCCTTCCCCTGAACCCCAGTGCCCCGCACCAAACAGCGGGAGGCCCGAGCACCCAACAGCAGGGGTGGACAAGTACTTTGGGTGGAGGGCCGCCTAACGAGTTTTGGTGAGCTGGAGAGGGCTGCATGGGTAGCCCCGCCCCTTGACAGTTGCCCCATCCCCTGTTGCCATCTTGGGAAAGGAAGTCCCGCCCCCTACTCCCGACCGTTGCCACTGGCAGTCCCTCCCCTTGCACCCCCGAAATACTCTTTTTGAGACAGGGGGTTGCCACCTTGGAACCGGGAAAAAACCACCCGTACGCTAAAAGTCAAACACTTAGTAGAACAGATTTTAATATTATTTCAAAAAATATTTTTGTCACGAGTTGTGTTTGCATAGCATATATAGAGGGGATTGCATAAGGACTCAAAAGTAAATTCTTAGTCTTGTACATTGTGCGTGTGTGGGTATGGCGGGGTGTTTGCAAGCTCCCACCCAGCTGCAGCCGCAGCCCCAGCCCCAGCCACTTCCCTGCCCGCTGCCAGGAGCAATGCCCCGTGGCTACAGACCCAACAGGACAGACTCAGCCACTGAGGACTTTTAAGGCACCGAGTACTGGAATATTCTAAACACCGACCGCTGTGCTCGGTTACTATGGTGATTTATGCTATTCCTATACCATAAATAGATTAAACAGCACAAAGAACATCTAAAGGCGCTCTCCCCTCCTCTGCCCATTTATCTGTACTCCAGCCGTGCGGGAGGGGCTGGCCCCATCGTGCCAGGGACCGCGTGCACACACGACCAGAGGAGAAAATACGATTCCTGCCCCAATGGGCTTACAAGCGAGACGATCAGATAAAGCAAGAGCCATATTTTTCCTTCTTTTTGCTTCTGCTTCCCCCTCCTCTCTCTCCCTCTCTGTCTTTCACAGATTACCATTATGGAAGCACGGCATTACTGCAGAAAGGATTTACTAAAAAAGCTGTATCTTGCATTTCTCTGAGGCCCCTGGACTCAGGTTTCATCTGCAGCAAAGGCAGGAGCGGCTGACAGATGAAGCGAGTGGAGTACAACCTGCTACTAACAGGGCCTTCCTCCTCCAGCGAGGACGAGAACAGCTGATGCGCACGGCAGACCGTAGCTCTGGTAAAGGGTGAACTACAGCATCCTGCCGCGTGGACCATGGCAAAACTGGAGGCACCCTGACAGTAGAGCACCGAAAGCACACCCGTGCCAAGCCTGAAAGCAAAGGCAGCTGTAAGACGTGCGGGTTCAAACCCAAGCATGTCTCCAGACTCCTTTCTTTTTTAAAGAAGAGGCTCGCCCAGGCTCACACCATTTGATTTTTTTAATTTTTTTTTTTTTTTAAGAAAAGGCTGTCAGTCAGCCCGCAAAACTGCTCCGGCACCCCTTGTCCCCGGGGTTCGGTGCGAGCGGTGCTGGTGGACGGCTCGCAGGTGCCAGGCACTGCCAGCGCTGGGCAGCAGGGGGCACTACCGCCCCACTGGCCGCAGGAGCCCAGCCTTGGGGCGTGCAGGGAGCCGGAGAGCAGCATCCTGGGCTCTGCACAGCCACGTGGACCTTACCCTGGCACGGGAAGAGAGAGCAAGGGCCAAGAAAGGCAGCCTGCCATCACAGCCAATGTCCCAGGAGGCGAGCAGGGAGCGCCGAGCGCTCCCAGCAAACGGGACCGGGTTGGGGAGAGCAAGAAGCGTGCTCTGACCCCGTGGAGTTGCTTTATAGGCAGGAGAAGCAGAGCCTGGCCCAGCCCTTCTCCCTGAAGCGCGCTGCTGTGCATGCTACATGGGGGCGGGCAGGCGCAAGGGGAGACGAGGGCGCAGCTGGGGTGGGATGACAGAAGAACCAAAGGCGATAAAACACGGAGTCTTTTGTTTGAGGAGCTGCACAAATTAACTCCAAATTACTGTCACAGGCAGAAAAAAATGGAGGCTGGGAGGCACAGGACTTGTTGCTGCACTCCATCTTGCCTTATTGTGGTGTCTCTCCTCATGTAGTAACAGCTAAAAGCTATCCCCTTCACGGTACTGCAGCTTTTAATATCTCCTCTTTTTTCCCCTGCAGTTTAATTAAAAAACAATGAACCTTTTAAGTAGCTGAATGAAAAATATAAAATTGCACTGTTCTATCAAAGCTTAAGATCTCCACATTCTGTGAGCATGGGGAGAACTCAAAGAATTTACTGGGAACTTGATTACACTCAAGTCCCTTGCTTACCTTCATCAGAAGGCTGGAGGCTGAGAATTAAAAATCAGGCCAAGGTAGATGCATCTGATTCAGCAGGCACAGGGGATTCGACTCCTTCAGGTAGTATTAAACAAAATTACACTGACTCCAGAAAGGAAATGAAATTGCTTCTTTTAATGATATCAAACTCATAATTGTTCCTATTTTTCTTCATGTTTAATAACTACGAGCCTAAGCAACTAATAGGCTTGATGTGCAACAATTAGTAAGCATCTGAAATGCAGAGTGGATGAGGCACTCAGATGAAGAAAGTGATGGCAGAAACTGCACAGGGTTACAGAAAAACCAGGGTGAACATGTTTCTTAGAACTAAGTTGCATGCTTTTATTGCAAAAAAGTAAATTATAGAATTTAGGACTCCTGAGTTCATGTCCTTTACCACAGTCTTCCTGTGCGACCCCAGGCAAGGTACTTACCTCTGTCCCTCAGTTCCTAGTCTGCAAACAGAGAATAACAGGTCCCCCGACCTCACAGGGGCAGGCAATGCAAGGACAAATACAGTACAAGCTGAGATGTTCGATACTCTGATAATGCATACAATAAGTACATGCAGGGGCCAAGAGGCCAGCATTTATTTTTTCTAGCGTATGAAGAACTATCATGCTAATCTTCATTTCCAGATTGTGTTCAAATTAAACTATACCTAAATATTCCACTCACTACAGCACTGGCTTGCTCCCAGGCAGCCCAACACAGCCCCATCGAGTGCCCAATTCCTTCATTCAAGCCACTCATCTTGGCTACTCTCAGCCTGAGTGCGGACTGAACAGCAGCAGTGTACTGCTTTTGCCCTAGTGCCACATTTTGAGGTTAAACCCCACAAAAGCAGCAGTTAGGAGAGAGCCAGGTTCTATTCCTAACTAGCCCTAGTGGAGTGATGCTGGCCCATTTAGTCAATCTCTTTATGCCTCATTTCTCGATCTGTAAAACAGGATAACCCTCCGCCCCCTCAATTTCAGAAAACATTTCCAGATGCCCATGCGAGAGCTCGGTGCGAGTACAAACACTTGCTACACTCCTGTGAAGGCTGAAGTCGATCCTCTTCCTAACACACATCAGTCATCTGCTGCTTTGTAGAAAGGTTGATCAGAAACCGTCCGGAGAGACAGCCCAAGCCAGTGGCGCTTGCCGCCAGCCTCCTCTTTCTCCAGATCTTGTCAGGTTTTCCTTTTTTTGGCAAGATTATACACAGGGATGACAAAGGCAATCATGTTAAAGAAGCACACTTGGATTTTTCCAAGGACTCTTACTGCCACATGACATTTTGATTAGACGCTTCCATGACGTGGAAATGAAAGGGCGCACATCAGATGGACCCAACACTGGCCTATGGACAAGTCTCAAAACACAGCTGTCAGTGGGCAGGTATTGGGCTGTTTGGGGCCACCTGGTGATTTGGTCTTGATCCCATGCTATTTAATATTCTTAGCAACACTGTAGGCAATGAAATACTTTTCTGAGTAACGTCTGAAGATGAGATAAAGATTAGCAGGGTAGCAAACAATGAAAAACCACTTATTGCTCAGGAGTGCCCTGAATCACCCAGCCAAATACTCACAATCCAACAAAGGTTGAAACAGGGAAACAAGGACGTAGGTTTTACCTACAGGAAGGGAGACTGCCTCGAAAAGCGGTGTGTCGGTGTCATCACAGATAGTTGCTTCAGCGTAAACTTGCACTGCAGTGCTATGGCAAAAAGGGTTACTGTGATTCTGGGACACAAACAGGGGACAGAGTAGAGAAGTAACTGTGCCTTTGAGCGCGGCACTGGGAAGACTGCTACTAGGCTGCAGGAGCTCAGCTTCTTTAGACTAGTGGGAAAGGTTGAGAAGTGACTTGATCACTGTGCACAGGTACCTATTGATGTATAAAGACAAGATATCCAATGCTGGGGGGCCTTACAGACTTGCTAACAAAGGCATAGCAAGAATCAGCAGCTGGAGGATGAAATTAGACAAGTTTAACTTTGAAATAAGATGCAGTTTTATAGTACTGAAGATGATTAAACGTTGGAACACCTTTCTAAGGGAGGTGGTAGACTCACCACCCCTTGGGAGTCTCAGACAAAATTAGATCTTCCTCTAGATCACAGGCTTAATTTACTTCCTAGGAGAAATTCTACTCTACAGCCTGTGTGTGCAAGGGGTCAGGGCCGGATGACCGGGCTGATCTCTTCCGGTCTGGGAATCTGTGAACCTACAGGATTCTTCTTCTCTCCCGTCGCACCTTCTTCCTCCACAGCACCAGAGACTGGCCACAACTGGAGATGGACCGTGGGAAGGAAAAACACACCAGCAATGGTGAGGCGACGTCAAGACTGGTCTCTCCAACGGCTGGTCAGCGCAGCGCTGCTCATGTGCTCAGATGTGCAGCTGAGAAGGAATTGTCCCCAGGCCAGGGAGGCAGGGACAGTGGGGTTGATTGATGCTCATTTTCTCTGATTTGGATTTCCTCTGCAGCAGGTGGGGCTTAAGCTCTGTGAGGGTCACCTGGACTTATCTCACATAACTATTCCATGCCACTGTAGAGGCCTTGGGCACTGGCGGCCCCTTGGTTTCTCCTGCAGCACAGAGCCATTTAATGTCCCCAGAACTGAAATGCTTTGGTCTAACTCAAGTTGTTGAGTTAAACAGCAGCATCTGGGGGAATTTAATGGCCTGTGATTACACTGGAGTCAGGCTAAGTAATCTCATGGCCCCTTGTGTCCTTCACCTCTATGAAAGCTTCACCATTGAGGCTGAATTTTCAGGGACTCCAAATGCATCACCTCAGAGGCTTGCTGTAAAACAAGCTGCCATTGATATAATGGTTACAAGGTACTGCGTACCAGTTCTACGAGAGGTAGCACGTCAGGAAAAAAACCCAGTTTATAAACAGCCAGGATGAAAAGCATGGGACAATATACACTCCAAAAGGTATGAAAAGGTAAAAATACTTCAAAGTCTAATCCTCCCCAAGATGGCTCTCATTCTGGCATTTTGTTAAGCACATAAGAGCAGGGTGGAGAGAGGTTAAAACGTAAAGTCAACTGAGGCACTGTCATTAATTCATAACAGACTATGCCTGGAAGTGGAGGTACGCTGGATTATGTACAGATACACCAAAGCATTAACAGTGACAGAGGCAAGTGCAGGTAGCATGGGACTGCTGCGAGAGCATTGCAAACCAAAAGCCAGTCGCTGAAGCCCAGTGCTCACAGTGGGAGGTCACTTCCCAACCAGCCATACCTGAAGCTCTGCCTCCAGCGTGGTCACCTTCCAGGCAGCTTCTCTCTCCAGCTCTTCCATTGCTTGCACTAAGACTTCATTCTGGTCACTCAGGTCCATTACGTAGGACTGAAGAAGCTTCACTTTCATCTGTAAAGGCAAAAAGTAGCACCACCGTCAATTCCCACCCTTACCTGTATTGGGATAGAACCCACCGAACCGCATGGCGGGGGTCCCATGAACACAGCGAGATCGTCCCACGTACAGGGAACATGAAACGAGATGTAGTAGCAAGAGGGTGAAACAAGAGAAGAGAACAGGAAGGGCAGCAGTGACCAGAACACAGCTCCACAGACGCACGGGCGGGCCAGCGGGCCAGCGATGTAAACCAGCAGGAGCTGGTAACGAGAACCAGCCAACGTAGGACATTCTAACAAGAGCCGAGCGGTGCGTGGTCCTGTGGTCAGGCAGTCCTGCTTGGAGCAGGGGGTTGGACTAGATGACATCCTGAGGTCCCTTCCAACCCTCATTTTCTATGGTTCTAAGTCCATGAAATGAGGTTAGGAATCACTAGTGCAGACCCCCAGACTCAGTTAATAGCCTCATAAACCAGCTGATGTCATAGTCAAAGAAACGTCACTGGCACCCAACAAATGGACCAGTGTTACATGGTATGCTGCCTGTGCTAACCCACTTCCAGCACAAGGGCATGAAGAACGAGCAAGCCCACGCTCCTCTTCCCTGCTACTGGTCGAGAAGCACTGCCCTAGGGCATGCCCAGTTCCACCCAGAACTGGAGCACACTGGCCAGGCAACAGAAGGCAGACCACTGCAGCTCCCCCTTGCTCCCTGAGCAGTGAACAGGCCAGGCACACACTCCACACAGCACAGCTTTAAAGCAGTGGTGCTCAACCTTACACCCCCGCAAGCCAGACGACTGGTGCAGGGCTAGTCTCCAGGCCAGATCCTGCGGGTAGGTCAGTCTGCACCAGACCCAGCAGGGGGCGGCCTGCGGGCTCAGTCCACACGTATGATCTGGCTGTGCAGGGATGCCACACGTGGGTGTGATCTGGCACACGGGGCCATCATCCAACCCACAGGTCTGAGAATTGGGGAGGGGGAAGGTGGGGGTGGGCGCAGCAATTAATGCTGCCACTGCTTTCCCTGCCACCAAATTTCTGGCCCAGAGGAGCCCCAGGGGCCAGAGAATAAATTCAGAGAATAAACGATTCCACTCTCAGGAAGAGATCAATGGGAAACCTGTCGCTGGGTGTTTCTAGTGGGATTCTGCCAGGGTCCCTAATGCCTGATGCTATTCAAGTTTCCTTGGCTGTTTATTTTTTTAAATCAATGATCCTGCAAGTCAATATCAAATCACTTCTGATTATGTTCGCACATGATGCAAAGATTAGCAGGATGGTAAACCACCACGGGAACAGTCGCGCAGAGTGAATGGACTGCTCAGCAAGCGAGGCCTGCTCCAACCCTGCTGTCATACAGGCAGATCTGGGACAGTGATTCTCCACCAGGGTGCCAGGGGATCCTCTGGGGCCGCTAGATCTTTTGAAAGGTATCATGAGGAGTGAGGAGAAAAACAAGGCAATAGGAGATAAACAGATAAACTAAGCAAATAAGCACAGGCCCTGCCTGGACAATCCCCCATGCCTGCTGCTCCACCCCTCTGCAAGGAGGTAAATCGCAATTTAACAATTAGTTTTTGAAATTGGGTGTTACTCAGTTCGCAGAAGTTATGGCGGGGGCTTTGGGTCCAATGAGGTTGAGAACCACTGATCTAGGGGCAAGGCAAGCAGGTTGTACCTTGGCATGAGATCCTGCACCCTGGAAGGCAGCGACACAGTGGCAGGACTCGTGGTGTCCTTGGATGTACGAGGAGGTAGTGAGTAGCAGGGAGGAGAAATTTCACCTGTGCATAGCGCGTTGGGGAGACCAGTACTGGAATACTGCATCTGTTCTAGTGTCCACGTTTTAAAAAGGATGCTGGAAAATTGGAGTGCAGAGAAGAGCCATAAAAAATTGTCTGAGCACTGGAAAAAATGGCTTACAGTGAAAGACTTTAAGGAGCTCAATCTGTTTAGCTTATCGAAAAGATCAAGAGATGACTTGATTACGACGTATAAGTACCTTCAGGAGAAGAAAATACCAGGTACTAAAAGGGCTCCTTAATCTAGTTGAGAAAGGCAGAACAAGAATCAATGGCTGCAGCTGCAACCAGACACACTTAAATTAGAAATATGACACAAAGTTTTAACAGCGCAAGCAATTAACCACTGGAACAAGTACCAAGGATATTATGGGTTCTCCAACTCTTACGGGCTTGATATTGTGCCTGGGTACCTTTCTGGAAGGTATGCTCTGGCAGAAGCTGGCTCACTACTAGAGTAAATGGGAAATATTTAATAGCCCATGATAGAAGAAGAAAAAGCAGAATGATCTACTGGTCTCCTGTAGCCCTCTGCTACACAAAACCAATGAACATGTTGCATCGTGCAGAGATCTTCACTCATTAGATAAGCAGGGATCATGCAACACTTTCACAGCTGTAAGACTCACCCCAAGCAGGGAGAAAGATGCTACCAAATCTTACCAGTGTATTACTTTCAAGTGGACTTGGTATCTCTGCCCATTAAGACTGTCTGACACTTCCTATTTCAAGACCCCATTTTCAGTTGCTTATGAGTTTGTCAAACTTCGACCAGCCAGACTGAAATCCTCCATGTAATGCCGTCTGACTCAGCCAGATGCCCTTGAACATTTTCAGTCCAAACCACTCAGTTGATTCTGAGAACAAGGCCAGGAAAAATACACCTAACCATTGGTGGCCATCGTTTCTTTGAACACGCGTGTTCCCTTGCTTTGGAGCAGGAGCAGGAGCAGGCAGCCTACAGTTTGGCTTGCTTTTCTGAGGGAGGCTGCACATCAGGCAGACTTTTCCATAGAGCTAATCACCAGTGAGGCCCAGACTCCTTTTCCTTTGGGCTGATATGCTTTATACTGAACTCCGTAAGGTGTAATTTAGCCTCGTCCCTCCAGAGTATTGCTCTGCATTTACTAACAGGGAATTCTGACACGCACAACATCTTAATAGGACATGGGTGTTTTTTTCTTGCTTTATTTCATGACACTCTTGCAGAACATGCCTATTTCAGCCTCTACACTGGCTCACACAGATGTTCCTTATCCTGCCTGCATACATCTCCTGAGCCACCGGAAGTAGAAGGAGTGATGGTTTCTTGAAGGCCTTTGGCGATGCCTGCATCTGCCTGCTTCAACTTGCTGTGCCTAAGTGAGCTAGGCTGCAGACCTGAGCAGCCACCGAGCGGGTGTGTGGGAGGGGGTACGAATTATGGATGGGTCAGCACAGACCCTGGGGCCCAGGCAGTTGGACTGCGCTGTCCCACCACCACAAAGGAGTGACTGAGCAGCCAGACAAGAGGGAGATGAATGCAAGGTCCCCGGGGGCGTGTGGATCCAAACGGACCAGCACGGAAAGCTTGACCAGGACTGTGACACTTCCTATGCAAATAGTTTCATTTGGAAAACTCACCTCCTTGGCTCTGCCGCACAGAGCACAGTTCAGGCAGGTCAGTTATGCACTTGGCTGCTTTACTGTTTCAATTACTTTACTATTTTCTGCAGGAATAAAACCTCCACGGCTGCTATACAATAACAAAGGTTAAAGAGGACCTCCCTGTCACGGGGTGCAACGACCAAATCCAGGGAGAGGAAGAGGGGAGAGCAGCAGGCTCCAGCGCTGCTTGAAAGCAGGGACTCCAGCAGAGCCCATGCCAGCCCGTAGCCAAGGGAGGTGTGAGCATGCCACTGCATCACCCCCGGATCCGCCACTGCGCTAACTTTGTTGCCCACCCACTCAAGATAACCACACAGAAAGCAAGTTGCATCCCTCCCATCACATGCAATGAGCTGCGGCTTAACTGAGAACAGCGCCAGTCTTCCACATTTTTCTAGCTCAGGCCCGCCGCAGTCAGCACTCCCTGCTCTGCAATGGTGCTGCTGCTCCTCCTCAGCCCAGCAACACTCAGCTGCAGGGCCTTGCAGCAGGTCAGGGTCTGCTGGTCACGGGAAACTGCTGCCATAGCGTTTCTGGCCACACAGTATAGGCAAACCAGTCACGCCTCCCAACTGTCCTCAGAAGGAGGGTGTACACGGGGAGGATCCTGCCTTGAGCAGGGGGTTGGGCTAGATGACGTTGAGGTCCTTTCCAGCCCTGCCTTTCTGTGATCCTACGTGTGCGAGTCCTGCTACTCTTAAACAGATGCAAACTTTGGATCTTCAACTGGTCAGGGCAACCGAGGTGTCAGGAGCCCGAACAGCAGTTCCTCCAGACTTCCTCCTGCCATACAACCCACCCCTTCTGGCTCAGCCATCCCTTGGCCATCAGGATAGAGAAGAAGACCACTCACCAGCTCACCTTCAGTAGACTTATCACAGCGCCTACTACTGACCTACTGCTAGCACTCAGTGCAGTTCATGTGCAAGGCCCTGGTTTCTGGTCCAAGGGGTAACAGTGGAGCCAGTAGCCTCGATCATAAGTTAAAACATTCAGAACAAATGTCCAACATAAATCTGGCAAATAGGTCTGGTAAATTGTACCCAGTCTGCCCCTCAGACTGGGATCTCTCTCTTCAATATCTGTCCCCATGATCATAAATCTCCCGTGCACCACACTCTTGTCTTGCAGCATCAAAAAAGAAGTTGCTAGCAGACTCCTCTGCAAGCCGGAGCAAATAACCCAGGTCTACTTTCCCTTTAACCAGCCTGTTAGTTTCATTGTGGGAGCAAATAGAGATCTTCGAGAGTACAGCAAGGCAGTAGTCTCGATCCCCCGCTGGAAAGAAATGACGTATTTCCAACTGAACTGTGACAGTCATCCATCAAGACCACATTATCTTCAGAATCACTGGATTCCAAATACAGTTTAAAATTCTGTCTTATTTCCAGAGGCTCGTTGTCCATTGGAATAATCCTGCACACAGCCCAGCTGAGAGCATACAGATACAGCTGGGTGCAACAGGTTATTTGAAGACCGCACTGGAAAAATATGGTATCGCCACAGTGAGGAATGAGATTTTTCCATCTTGTTCAAAACAAGCCATGAACACCCCAGTGAA